GAATTATCTGAAGAGCACTAGGGTGAGGGAGAGGTATAAATGGAGCCTACAGAGATTACCTGCAGGGGCAGCTGTCAGTTCTGAAATTGATAATCTGTGTGATAGGTGACTTGCATTATGTTGATTGTTTCCAAGTGGATATTCAAGTATTTTTGAAATGATATAATCTGTTTTGGAGTGGTTGGTGGAAATGCAAAACAGACAAAGAGCTCATTTCCTTTACTTCCCTGCCACTTGCTTAAGAGCAACTCTTGTCTGATCTCAGTGTTTCTGTGCTCAATCAAATATCCTATTAGGAAACTCTCAAATTTCAGAATGATACTTTTACAAAATCATGTTTAATTATGTGTAGCAAATTCTTCATAAATGCATATTAAAACCTAAACAAAATACTTGACTTTCAGTAATAAAGTGCAGACTGTGACATCAGTTCCCTATGTAGCAACTTCACCTAATGGAAATTGGTGTAGGTCTTCAAAAAGAATGTGAAGACAGACTTGAATAATGTGTCCAAACCCACTATGCTTAGTGGGAAAAGTCAAACCTCTGCTTTATTCTACCTCAGTAGTAAGTCTCAAATTGCAGCCTAAATGATAATGTCTATTCAGATCTGATCTGTGATGTACAACACTTCCTATCACACTGCCTACTTATTATTGCTCTTCATAGCTGGTCATCCAGATAGCCAGATTTTCCCTCTTTCCTTGTCTGTGTCAGCCATCAAAGCCTAAGTATGTTTAAATAACAGATTAAAGAACTTCCTTGAAATATTAACAATTCCCTTCTATCTTTTTTATAATCCTGCATTTCTCTAGTGCTATTATTTTTATTATTACACACTCATGTGAAATACAATTTACCATTCATTGTCTTCAGCTTTATTTCACACCTCAAATCATAATCCATTTTACCTGAGTAAGAATTATATACTGAATGCCTTTACCTCAAGTTTCCCAGAAGGCTAAAAATATTTTATAGTAGTGTTTTTCAAGCCAATGAACAACTGTGTTTTCTGGAAATCATTTCAGAGAAGAAGAAAACACCTCAACTTAAAGAAGAAATGCTACCCAATTACAAATGCAATTTAATTTTTTTTCTATTTGTTTTTTTCTGATGTGACCCTCCTGCATTACAGAAAATATTATGAACAGTTATGAGGCATGGAGTCACTTCATCACAATTTTATTAATCAGTTATATCCTTGTAACACCTAGCGTAGAGAGTGGTGTTGTGTCATGATAGGTGTTGTACAAGCGATCATTTCTGACTGGCAGCAGATGAACTATCACAGCAAGCACAGCTGTGGCAGAAAAGGCCGCTCCTATGCAAATAACCCTAATAAAAATGGAAATAAGACAGGCAGAAGATCAGTTTCTTACTAAGATGATTCCAGAGTGCTCTTCAAAAACCCATCTGTCTTTACAAATAGGGCCTTGCTTTCATTTTTGATGACAAATAAGATTTGCATAGTATAGGAACAACAGAAACTGAATGCAACTGATGACAGACTAGCAGTGAAATAGGAGGTTATTCTCATATTGCCAACGTAGAGAATGTAATTACAGGTGGGTACGAATTGTAATTTGATATATGTATCCAGATCTTCTATTGGTGATAATTCCTCTAGGCCACTGAAATATGCCTAGCCTGTATGGTGTGACAATCAGAAGCTTTAAAGATATTGGATTCTGCCTCTACTTTGACCTTCAAACTGATGCACTTGTGTAACTCTGTTAACTGTGTTCTTCCCTCATTCAGCATTACTCTGAGAGTTGCACAGTAAAGCTGATCAATAGACATGGCCAGTTACACAACAATTTTACATCAGGAAATCCACGCCTCTGCAGAGAACTTTAATTTTTCTTTGGCAGAAAGAAGAAAAGGGTTTTTTTGTTTCTTTAGTACTGATTTACTCTTTTGTTGAATAAAATATCCTATTTTACAAAGACAGTAAAATAAACAGAGAAAAGGAAGCAAAAGAATCATATTCCCAATCTGCTAATATAACCCTATGCCGTTAAAACATGAACCATTCAATCCCAGAGACGTACAATATATAACAAATGCACAGAATGGATGACAAATATCATTTTCAGAAACGGTTGTCTGAGGCTTAAAATCGAGTAGCACAGGAAAACAGAAATATAACCTACTCACAAATCAGTCCTTCAGGGTATCCCAAGACCTTTTCATGTGCCCAATCTTTAAGGTAGTAGAGGAGCTGAAAGTGGGCATCAGTGATAGATGTGATTGCTTCATGCTTCCTGATGACAAACCGTACCATATGTATTTATGTGACGGATATTATCAAGACTATGTTTACTCTTTCAACTTCTAGACTTGATCCATATTTATAAAAGGTGAAAGGAACATAAATTGTAAGTTTCCAGTTATTTAAAACAAAAATCAAATTGTATTCACTGATCTATGATATTTTTTTCTTTTTATATGTCTTTATTCTGAAAAAGTCCAGTGAGTCCTATGAACAAGCTTTTGATATTAGCAAGCAGAAAACAGATGTTGTTCGGTTACCAAGATTAATTTGTCATTTGGTAGAATCCAATTGAGACAGTCAGACAAGAGTGAAAACTCTATTTTCAACAGCATACATGATACAAAAGAGGCACATGTGAGGTGCTGTGGGTTTAGATCTGTAGGAACAGAACTGGTTTGATAATTGACTTTATTTAGACCTCTGGGATGTTTATCGTGCCTTTCAGTCACAGCTAATATTGAAACAAATATTCTAGACATGAAGAGTCATATCATGGACTCTCTGAGCTGCCTAGTTCTTGCAGCCCCTTTTATTCTCCATGAACACTTAAAAAATATTTCAGAATGTGAGCATTTAAACGCAGCAAAGAAACCAGCACTTGAGCATGGAGTTAAGTGGGAGACAGCTGGGTGGACTTTGACTTCGTAGTGCTATGAAACTGCTTAAAAATTCAGCTCAGAAGGAACCAGTGCAAAGATTAAACCTTCTATCTATGTCATGGTTCCATCTATGCAGTTACATGACTATGTTGCTAGTTCACTTGCTAGCTCAGCAATTCAAAGGAATAAGAAGCGATTTCCTTGCAGAAGTCTGTCTGCTCTCAGGGTATTTTAAATGAGTATAGTGTAAAGAGTATTTCTTGTTTTCTCTTTCATTTTATGTTTCTTCTATATATATATTTTTTTTTTTTTTTTTTCTTTTCACACCACAGTATACAGTGCATCGTTTTCTTCTGTGTTTTAGGAGTTGTCCTTTTCTTTCCCTTCACTCTTATTTCCCTATTATGCTGCAGTCTTTTCTCTGTTGTACGCTTAACTGCATCTTCTTTCTCACACACTCCTTGCTCAGCCTCCTTCAAAGGATTGCCTGATTAGAATGGCCGGAAAAGAGCTGTTTTTAGCTTGATTCAAACAACCATTCAAAAAAGTTCAGCTTATTCACAGGGCTGAGCTTGGGAGGCAGTACTGCCATATCGCAATAGTTTCTCGGTCACGTGAACTTTTACAGAAAGCTGCCGTATCAAAGGCAACAGAGCCTCTCTGGAAATGAATCCATTCTAGGAGATGGACCCTGCAACACCCTTCAGCTGGTGTTTCGGCTCACCATCACCCAGCAGGTGAGAGCCAAGCCCCATTCCTTGCCGGCAGAGTTGCTCCAGCTGCTGCATGCTCAAGTCCTCCATCTCCTCACTCTAAGTTAATGAGTGAAGAGGCCACAGCAGCCCGGCCGAGGCAGAGGGCTGGCTCAGGTCCAGCTGCCCTAATTCAGCTTGCTGAGGTGGGAATGCACCCACTTTCCAGAGACTCACCAAAATCAGACCTCATCGTCTTTTGTACTATCCACACAACTGACTTGGAGAGTACCAGAAAATAGTTCATGTCGCTCTTGCTAGCCAACCATTTTAAAGGCTTTTAATTTCCTAATTCACACAGTTATATATATATATAAGTTCAACACATTATATTTTAAAAATGAAACAAATGGAAATGTGTATCTTCAAAAAGTCACATTAGCTATGTGGTCAACTGCTTTTCCACTTCAAATAATCAGTGCATGGGGTTCACAGATTACTGCCTTATACTACTAAACACAGAAAAATTTTCTGTTTTCTGGATTAAACCCTTCACTGCAGTTCAAGCAACCACATCCTTGTACAAACCACTTAGAGGAAATAATATTAATTCCCCCCTTATCTCTGAAAAGGGGAAAAAAGCCCTCCTTAAAAGGTAATAAATGCCAGGAAGTAATTGACTCCTGAAGTCATAACTCCTGAAATTCATAGAAGATGCCAGTAGCAGTAAAATCAAGAAATAGAATGTAGGATGGCCTAAAAGTGAGGCCAAGGCTGTTTAAGATGCACCTGTGTTGCCTCTTTCACTCAGTGGAGGAGCTGGTTGGGAAGCTGCTGCCCTGGGAAATTACGATGAGGTCCGTAAAATGGATGGAAAATGTACAGATGAGCATTGCTCTAGGTGCTACAGACTTCCAAAGGACCTCACTGGTGGCACTAACTGTGAGACAGTTTTGCCAGAGTGATGAGGGTCAGTTTTGACACAAGAGGATGCACTGGGATAAGAAGGCCAACTGCATGGATAAAGGCATTATACAAAGCATACGACAACTTCACAGCGAATGATAATATTTAAAATAACTTCAGTATTTCCTCATAGAAATAGTGTTCTCAATGATTACCTTGTATTCCCTCCACCTGACACTGAGAGGGTAATGAAACTTCATAAATATGACTTTGCAAGTATGTCTTTACCTGTAATGTGGTTTTTAACATGCACTGGGCAGATAATCACTTATTTGTGTGCATATCAGCCAATGTGACAAGGTGAACATAACCCTTCCTTTACGTATAACTCCAATATCACCACTTTCAGTCAAGAATGACGGGTACAGCAAGTGTACTGCTGCAAACATGACACACATTGTTGTCCTGTGTGCTTATGGTTTTCAGTACACAGCTAATAAAATAACCAGGTATGAAATGCAATCTTACCTATAACTTTTCCCAGGAATAGTGCCTTTGGGGAATTGAACTGAATGTCAGATGATGTTGGCAGGCTGTAACTTGTTGGAGGATAGTGATCAAGCTGGGGAAAGAGAAAAGACTTTATGAGTATTTTGAACTGATCTGACTTCTTACAGTACTACTGAATCAAGTCTACTTTATGTGGTTTAAGCCACCACTTGCAACTCTGTCTGATATGATCTGCTTTCATTTTAATAAAAGGAAAATAACAGTTAATACCCTTCATTCTATATCTGCCATCTTCACAGATCCCAAGGCCTGGAAAATATGAATACTGGACATTGGTTTGTTTTGGTTGCTGTAGAATCACTCCAGCTCTTGTTTGTGTGCTTCAATATAATTGCTAAAAATAACAACAGCATCAACATCAACATTAAAACAGCTTATTATTTTAAAGGAATATTTCCATTTGGGACCTATATTACTGCTAAAGCTAGATTTACATAGCTGAGAAGCTGAAACTAATATAGGTGTTGGGCATTCTCTTTTTGTCTCAGAAAATTAATAAATTAATAAACCATACATTTTTTGCACTTAATGTTTATTGTTTTCTTGTTTAAAATGTTGTTCATTTTAATTGTGATGACACTTAGTGAAACGTAAGAAATAAATTTAAGAGTAATCAATTTAGGTAAATAGTTTAATCTATAGGAAACTCATATTATCCGTGATATGACACAACTATCGCATTATATCAGAATATTTTTTCACGTTTTTAACTATTTAACAGAAAAATGTGAAGAGAGACGAATAAAATAAATTGCCTATGCTTAGTCATAGCACTATTAAGATAGTTCAATACAGCTCAATAAATTTTTGATGTTCACATTTCATAAAGATAATAGGGATGAATTTTTGTCTATGCTGTTATTTATTTTCTCAACTTTAGGAGTTTATTACACAGGCTTAAAGAGGGCAGAACAACAATTGTTTATTTTATTCTGGCCTTACCTTGGCACAAAAAAGGATAGAAACTCATATATGTGATTTAAGACTTTGCGAGGTATACCAGACTGCAAAAGAAATTCTGGAGAAACTGCAACACTAAAGGGCATACTATTTTTTCACATATCTTTTTGCCATATGACTAATTTTAAATTTCAAAATATTATTATCTTGGATTAGTTTGCTTTAATGATAATGCAAACATTCAGTTCAGTGGTTAAAAGTAAAGGAATGGTGGATAGTGTAGAACTGAAGGGCTGAATCCCCTAATATCCTGTAATAATGTGAGCTCATGTACTTGGAAAGCCTACAGATGTCATAAACATGAATCTGCAGAGGCAATCATAACTGGAAGAGAGGGGTCTTGTCTTTCTTGTAGTGCCCCATAAAACCCCATCAAGAGAAGTGTGTATACATAACAGAGAGAGAGGGAAAATATTATCTGCAGATGACAAAGGAGGTCTAGTAAATACTCATGTTCAGAAATTATTTTTAATTAATCATAACTATTTTTCACACCAATTATTTAAATGTGGCCATGAATGTTTCTTAGCATGAATACTGGCTATCTCCCAATTTTAAACTGCAGAGTTTTGAGCTGAATATATGGAAGAACATAGTTCCATCTTCTTATTCGGAAACTAGTAAGTTTCAGTTTGTTCAGAGTATCTTGAACAGCTTTTCTTAGATTTTTGATAAACAGTAGCAATACATATTTTACCTGAAATTAGAGTGAAACGAGTTATTTTTGAAAGGGTGTAGTCAAGTGAATACGAAGAGTTAAAATACAAAACAGATCTCAACCTTAACCATAGCAGCTCCTACAAAGTACAAACTCCAGTTAAGTGCTTATTGTTGATTTCCCTGGCAGAAGGGAAATCTGTTCCAGCATCCAACATCACCAGTGTCAGACCCATTGTCAGTGGGAGCTCCAGCTATATCAGGTGAAAAACATATTCCCTTCTTATTTCAGAAGACAAATAGGAATGGCTCAGAGCTGTCATGGTATTTACCAGTATAGTTATTAAACTGAAGGTATAGACTTTAGAGAGGCATATCAGCAGGAAAAGATTGGTGAAAAGACTGATCCACAAAACCCCGAATCTCCAGCCTCTCATACTACTAAGACTTTAACCTCATGTAATGTCTTTGCCTGCAGTGGAATTATTTCTGTTACGTTCTGTTTGCATAGGATTCATCTTCTAGGTTTTCCTTTTATATGTATGACTTAAAACACGCTGAAGTAACTCTGATAAAATAATCTGGTGTACTGCCACATACATTGGTATTTGTCAGCATCATCAACATTTAAGTTCCTCCTCTTCCAAAATCAATCTGGAGCAATGTTTAAACATTTCTTGTTATTGTGACTTGGAATTTGAGCAGTGGGGTTGATCAGATCATCACTAATCTGATAAGATACTAATAAATCATAATAATTATTATCAATCTATCATTTCGTTTATCAACATATTGTGAGTACCCTAGAGTTGTAGTCATGGTCCAGGTGTCCATTATCAGAGTAACTATTAGGAATAAGTAATAAAAAAGTCATCCCTGCCTAATTTACAGGCTGCCTCTACCTGAGAATGCTAATTGTGTCTGCAAGACATATCTGAAAATGAAAAGTCAATATAGATTATGAATTACTGTGAGAATTTACATGCACAAGTACAGAATATCAAATTCTGCCAGCTGAGGTGTGGCAAAACTCCCTTTGTCTTCAGCAGTGTTAAGGATGTGGAAGGGCTGTTCCATAATTGACTAAAAGAGACTCAGTATATTAGCTACGTAAAGCTATAGTTTTTTTCTTTGCAATACAGGTTCCTTGCAAGGCTGCCTTCTGTCCATACAGTACAACAACAGCTTTGAAGTCTAGGTTTTTATTTTTAAGCTGCTCTGTAGTTTGGGCCCAGAATATCTAATATATCACCCCATCACCCAAAACTGAGGTTTTGCAGTTCAGGTAACCAAACACACTATATTTGTTAAGAAGTTCTTCTGAGGCCAAGGTGGAAAATCCTTCATGAACCAAATATCATTGCAAACCTCATCTTGTTCTGGCAGACACAATTTTCCAACTTCTTCTTTCCTGGCAGTAATAGATAATGGAAGACACATTCAAAATAAGTACAGATGTAGCATTACACTATGACTATGAACCCAAAATAATGATACAGTATTTCACCAAATCCCTCAAACTGGTGTATAATCATAGATTTCACTTCCCTGGAAATGGGGATGGTGTCAGTGTTTTGGCAGAGGAGCAAAGGGCAGGGAACCATTGTTCTTGCCCTCTTCCCCCTTTTTTTCTGATTTCTCTGGGAAATCCTTATGCAAGTACAGTGGGGAGGCAGAGGTGGAGCCATCTGCATCCCTGCATGCTTGGAGTCCTCCAGTGGGAATTCTGTGGCAAAGCTCAAGGAGAGAAGCTGTTGCAGGGTGTTCAGGGCATGCTACTGGTGAAACTATGCAGGTTTCTGGTGCAGCCAAAAAGGAGTCAAAGGTACAAACTGGTGTGTTCTCTATTCCCCTCACCTTGGAACAGTTTAGTTAGTGGTGATCTTGGCCAGATTTTTTAAAAAAAAAAGTCCTTCCAGTGTTTGTATCTCCCTTTCAGCATGGCACAGCATCACGGTGCAGAGGCAAAAGGTGCTTCTGCCTGTGGGAGCCAGGGATGGTAACAAGGGGACTAACACTGTATTACATTGCAGTCTCTAACAGATACAGCCAGTTTACTGCTTAGGATTATTAGTTTAAACTGACCTCTTGTATCAATAACTGAACCTACCTACTCTCACACATTTTCCAGATCCCACTGAAGTCAAGGACAGATTTCAGAATGGGTTCAGCTATGAGTTGTTTTAAGGGTTTAACGACTGTTTCAAGTTTGGGGTTGTTTTGATTTCTGGTTGGAATAAATCTCCATTTAAAAACTGTTAATGCTTGTTGCCATGGGTAGGGGCAAGCATTTCTCTTTCTGGCACCCCCTGTCCCATGGGGAGGCCCCCATTGCTTTCCACAGCCAGCTTGGAGCTTTGCCCTGCTCACCAGCAATGGAACGGTGCACCATGAGCCAACACTGAAGCACCAGTGAGATTTCTGTCTGCCTGATTTTATTTTTAGTCTTTGTTCTAAACTAGCATTAGCTAATAAAATAAAACTTTTTTTTTTTTCTAGAGGCATTTAACCTAGAATTTCTTTTTAAGTCAGCGAGTTAAAGGATGAAGCTAAATTATTTTCAAAATTGTATGTGACTGCCATCCAGTGGGTGCTTAAGTGTAAGCAGCTGGAACTGAGCAGCCTGCAGTCTTTGTATGAAATACTAGGCTATCAATTTTATATAAGACACATAATAAAAAAGGAATTACTAGTGTCAAATTATATTTGACAAAAATGTATTATATTATTTAATGAAAATTAAATAGAACCTCTGCATACACAGAGGTTGATGTAATGAATTTGTATTAAATTACAGTTTTAAAATGATATTTAAGATTTTTCGTTGCAGCTACTTTTCTTTAAAAACTCATTAATTTCGTCTGAACTTAGTATAAGCATACAGTGTGGCTTTGAGCATTACACAGATGAAAGTAGATGGCAGTTGCTGAGGAACTTGCAGTTTCAGTTCTCAAGTCATGTCATGCCAAGGCTGAATGTCTTTATCTGAAGTTGCTGGGATTTAAGCAGGAGTTCAATAAAATGCTATTTCTTTTAAATTATTGTTCACTTAGATAATAAAACTAATCTTGACAGGAGTGCTGAGATTTACAGGCATATGAATCTAGTGTCAAACATAGTGCCTGCATCACCTTAGTAGTCACAGTAAAAAAAAAAATATCTAAAAATATCTATATATATAAAAGGTATATTTACATACAAACCACTTATATTCATCTTATGGGTGTATCTATATCTGTATCATTGTCAGTTCAGCCTGTGAGTGTGTATTTATTTAAAGCTAAGGTATTTCTTTATGCTGAAGACATTTTAAAACAAAAAATTTCAAAATTATATGGAATAATAATGCTGTAAGGCTTAATCTTACACCATCTGAAGTCAATATGGCTTTGCTATTGACTTTAATATTAGCAGGATAAAGAAGGGGACATGTTA